GTGATTTGTCACCTTGACATAATCCTTATGTAGTACTTTCTTTGGAAGATATCACTTCTTTTTTATTGCCCTCAATTTGCCCCTGCTGCCCTAATTTTTCGAATTTCCACCCGTCTGATCATATTTCTAAAGTTCGCTTTCAGCGGTGCGACGTATTTAGGAAGGGGACCACTTGATAGCACCCCTGTGTCGCTTCCCTGACCACCAGTTAGGTTTTATGGGGACTATCTCTCTGCGACTATCGTTGTCTGCGCTCTAAACCCAAGACCTAGCTAGGAGAAGGAACATAGGGGCGCGGTCAAGTGGCCTATCCCCTTTCTCTCCAACCATTGGCACCGCCTTCTCAGGATAAGCAAGAAAGGATTATCGACTGGTCAGCGCGCAGGGTGGTATGGCGAGCTATCACTGCCGCGCTCATTGTGAGTCCACGATGCGTGCGGCGGGTTTTCATGCCACACGGCTGTGCGCGTGCTGACCGCGGTCCCATAAGGCGATTCCTGACCTGATGCGGAACTTATTGAATTTACATTATAATTCAGGAAATGTGCACCATGCAATGCCTTGTGAATGTATGCCAATGCAAAGATGGCTTTTTCCGCAATTCACAAAACCGGTGTGTCTCCAACTGTAGCGAAAGCGAAGGTAAGCATTATACAAGCTTATGGTCGTGGTTCACACGGCTTGGTGGGGGCACAAGTGAGGTGAAGGTAGAAATACGTCTTACTTTCAGTCGGGTTACTTGTCGTTGGAAAACATTTTTGGAAAATAGGACCCCTTTCTGGTACGACTACCCACTCCTATTCTAATTTCCCAATCCTACCAACCATCTACCCCACCCCTATTCTCCTTTCCCAATCTTACCTACCATCTTTCTAAGCTTTTCCTCAGCTTCCTACCATTTTTTCCACATTTCCAAAAAAACTTCCGTGTTCTACCTCCAAAAAATTTACGCTGACGGGGGAGGCGAGAGGGAGGTCGCCACCAGCCAACTACTATTATATTTTCATCTATCGGAAATAGTAATAGTAAGAAACCTCTGCAACTTGTGCGGTGCCACCAGCCCGCCCCTCTCCGCCTGACGAGCAAATACGACTCCCCTTGGCGATCTTCCCAACGATGTAGATAGCGCGTAAAATAGGGAAAGTCAGCTACCAAAACTTCGTCAGCCGAACGAAATAGGACCGCTAACCCTCCGCTGGGGACTCTCGGAAGCACGGCGTCCCCTCTTCAGTCGTCTTTCTTCACCAGCGACACCTGTCTGCGCTCACTGCATACGCCCCCACTTATTACGTCCCCACTTTTAGCTGGTTCTTTACCGAAAATTGTTCCTACAAGTGGCCTGACTCCCTGACAACGACTACTGAACTCGTTTTTCCGAGCAAACCTAGTAAGATGAGTACCATATCATGGCTTCTAATGTAAGATCTTCACGGTCCTGAGACGACTATTGAATTTTCTCAATGATCTAACCAATACTCCAAGTTGGTCACCAGAGCACTCCCTCCCTCAACAACCGGAATTCTTGTGAGTCAGGGCAAAAGACGCTCATGTGCGCAGGGCTGCATGATTTTGCGCTCTCTTTTATCTGTCTTCTCTCGCTCTTTGTTGTGTAGCACTTTAATCGCGAACAGTGTTTCTCTGCCATGTGCTTTACGTTGCTCAAAATCAAACGTTGAAAGCTTGGTTTTTTCTAGCTTTTCAAAGATTTCTTCTTTTACCGCGATGCCTCAACGGTTCTTACTTGAACCTTGCTGCCCCCTCCTACCTGCTACCGTGGGGTGCCTTCAAAATGAGAGAACGTGGAGAACTGAAAGATCAATCACTCTTTTGTAGAAATCTGCGGTGTGAATGAGGAACTGAAGAGATGTGGTACAGCTTGCGAACCGACATGTGACCAGCCAATCCGAGTAAGTTATCTCTAGACTCTTTCCTTCCCTCAATGATTGCTCCTTGGGAAGCTCAGGACAGGATTACTTTTCTTATACGCACTAAATCTTTTCCATTCAGTCCTGCACAAAAGATTGCGTCCTAAATGTTTGTCAGTGCAAGGAAGGCTTCCTTCGCGATGCCAACAACACCTGCGTTCCTGAACAAGAATGTCCACGAAGTAAGTACTAAGGTAGAAAACTCTAGCCTTAGAATGCGCCATGCGTGTACTTTCGTTAGAACTCGTGAGGTCATTGAGGACATAATCCACGATAATCGGATGGGCGGAGATTCATGACCTCTTTGCTTTCCTCAACAGCGCTCTTCTCTTTACTGTTTCGGAGAGGACCGCGATGGGGAAGGCACAGTGGTCATGAGAGTCCTCTCACCCGTTTATCCGAATGTGTCCATGAGTTGCATATTCGCCGGAGCGTGTCATAAGGCCTGAGTTTGTCCCGCTTTTCACCAATTGTTGTCGCTCATCCGTTTCAACAACTGGTGGAGAACGGGCCGCGCCGAATCTAGCCCCAGCTCCTGACCCCTGACAGACCCTGCAGCACTGAGCACGATGGCTGAGGACGAGCAGTTATGCCAATATCGCTGGTCACTAGTTTTACGACTATTGAGCTCTAATGTTAACTTTCCAGATATCACCTGCGGCCTGAACGAAGAAGTCAAAAAATGCGGAACAGCTTGTGAACCAACTTGTGCCGATCCGATTCCTGTTAGTTTCACTTACTATACTACTTCCTTTAGACTGCGTTCATACTTTGCTACAGCGTCCACCAGCGTCTACCAGTGTCGACCCGCGACGACTAGCGTTCCGTCCGGCAGCTTCAGCGACTAGGAAAGCACAGATATCGATCTAGCCTCTGCCAGCGTCTACCAGCGTCTACCAGCGTCCACCAAGAGACTGAGAGTAGAGAGTATGGGGAAGTAGGAGGGTAGCAAACATTAGGCGTCGTGAAATTACGGCGTGTGCAAAGCACCGTACAACTACACTACACCGCACATTAAATTGCATAATTCTAGGCTTAAACCGTTGTGCGGTGCGGTAGACGTTGGCTAACGCTAGATCGATATCTACACTTTCCTAGTCGCTGACGCTGGACGCTCAAAACGCTGGTGGTCGCTGGGAGACGATAGTGGACGCTGCCGCGAAGTATGAACGCAGCCTTTAGATTCTGGTCAACCTCCACGGTTAGACGTCTCTTATTTCTGACGCTTGTGTAGTTGAATTGCCATTTGGCAGCAAGGTTGGACCTCGCCCATTCTATGGTCGTAATCCTTCGTCCTTCGCCGAAGTAGTGTCCGGTGATGTTTGACCGGGGAGTGGGGAGCTCAGCCGCTCGTAGATTGGGTGTGGTCCAACAGTCTCATCTACCGCCTTCTCCTCCCAACTCCACTACGGTGTGCAGGCCCAAGTTGCGGTGGCGCAGCGTAGGCTGTATATCCGCCATATGCAGTACGACCCACAACGACAAGAGGCTCATCTAGCCGCCACAATTTTGATCACTTGCAGTCATTTGCTGCAGAGACCGGGGCTTGTAAGGGGGCTGGGTTAAGCGCTGAATCAGCCTTTTCTCCAGCACTCGTTGAAGCGGACAAGTGACAACGACTGATGGAAAACGGTCTTGCGCCGCCCTCCTCACAGGCCATAGTGACTGCAGCAGAAACGATTACAGTCCCTACGCCATTACGTAACGTATACGCCTTGACCGACATCCACTATCTTCCATTTCGTTTTTTTTGCTGTTTTTCCATTTTTTGCATAATTGTTGAATATTCACAGAAGTGTACCAAACAATGTGTGGGTCCTGTCTGTCAGTGCCGTGACGGTTTCATTCGGGACTCATCAGGAACTTGTATTCGTGAAGAATCCTGTCCTCTGAGTACGTTCTTTCTACTCTCCAGCTTTTCTTTCTTTGTAGAAGGCAGAACGCCGTTCTCCCTAGTAGGCTCGATGCGTGGCACCATGGCTGGCCTTCAAAGGCATTTGCCGCTACAGATTTATGATTTATGATTTATTATCGGCATTCTATTGACAGTGGCACACATAAAAAAGGAAACGCAGAAAAAAATCTCCGATAATCAACCTAGAACTCAGTGGGGAAAACAGCATAAAGTTGTTGCGGATATTACTGCCGTTTCCGTGGAATTTTTCCCTTGGAACCTAAATGCTGGTCAGCATCACGCTGCTTGGTAGGCAACATGCCACGCGATTGAGTTCAAGTACCTTCGGACCGTGAGTGGTGTAGGGGGGGGGGCGTTTTATGGCCCATATTCATCGCATAATAGACTGGCAACAACTCGCCGCCCTCCTAGGCGAGGCGGCACTCATGACCGTTGCACCTACCTCATCTTCTTCTGAAACGATGAAGTGGGGGGGGTACGCTAATTGTGAAGAAGTTGTAACTCTCCGCACATCCGATTATCGCGGAAACGCGTCTCTATGGGCAGAATTGTGAGTCATCACCTAGTCTGAAGTACAATTGTGCATGTGCTAATCGACTTTCGTTGGGATTTGATGGGAGGGACTGATTTGCACAAGAAGGACGAGAGAGCCCACAAACGAGCAAGATGACAGGCAAAAACGCGGAGCCAAGTTTTTGGCGCTCTACTGAGTCGCCTGAGCAGCCTTATGGCTTGAACATTGTACAGTATCCCCAACCTTACAGAATTTCTGGTGCGCTACTAAGTACAAGCTAATGATGAGCAGGTCCGAGGGTAGGATGGGAACGTTTGTAAGGCCGCGTTCATAGCTTGCGATCGTGAAGAAATGCCGAAACTGCAGAAGTGCGGAATCTGCAGAAATGCCGAAAGTGCGGAATCTGCAGAAAAGCAATAGATACGTATCGATTTGAAGAAAGTGAAGAAATGCCGAAACTGCAGAAGTGCGGAAAGTGAAGAAATGCCGCCGAAAGTGAAGAAGTGCGGAATCTGCAGAAATGCCGAAAGTGCGGAATCTGCAGAAATGCCGAAAGTGCGGAATCTGCAGAAAAGCAATAGATACGTATCGATTTGAAGAACTTTCCGCCACGTCATCAGATTCGGCACTTCTGCAGTTTCGGCATTTCTTCACTTTCTTCAAATCGATACGTATCTATTGCTTTTCTGCAGATTCCGCACTTTCGGTCAGATTCGCATTTCGCAGTTTCGGCATTGCTTCCGATCCAGTGTCGGTTCATGAACGTCCAAAGCGATGCGCGCTAAAGCAATAATTCCGGAAAGTGCATGACGCACGCCATGATTGGCGATCGTCTCTCTCTTTGTCACCTCGGAGGCTTTAAATCTCTTTCGAGAGCTAATCGTGTAAACTGGGCTTCGCATGATACATTCAATGAAGGCACCGTGCTTCTAATAAAACCATACCTGGTGCAAAATCCTGTATTTCGATTAACTCCAGCCTCAACTCTGACAACCGCAAGTTGCTATCCCTAGGGCGGGTTTCACCATCTAGAAACGTTTCCAACAGACGAAGCCTATTGATGTTTCAGGTCTTTATATTTTACCGAAATTTCTCCAATGCCATGGGCGAGCTTTTCTAATAGATCTGGCTACGTTTAGACTCGGCCGAGCCGCCAGAAAGCTCCACGGTGCGAGCGTAAATCGGAGGTTGTTCCCTTCGACATTGAAAACGTGAATTGCTTTGAGAAGCGAAGTGCACAAACGGATCGGCTTCCCATTTTTGGCTCTAAGTTGTCAACAATTTTCTGTAAATTCTCTGAGAATAATACTTGAATCTTTTGTTTTCGTAAACAAAGAATAATGGAATGAAGCGCGGCGTCGGCGTATTCTTTTTTTGGAGGCCGCCAATGCACTTTCACTCCCAACTGTTGGCCATAATTGCGGCATTGTGGAAATGGCAATTTGCCAGGTACACTGACTTTTCGAGTACTAAGTAATACAGGAGGGGGGGGGGGGGCAAAAAAAGACTTTTTTCTTCCTCGACTTTCGAGGCGCTATAAGTTACACTTTATCAAATTATTATCGGACATTTCTACCACCATATTTAAAGAGCACATCAAATACTATCACTGAACAGCTGTCGCCACAGCCTACTGAGACGCCATCGAGAGATTCCGCAACCGTGACGTGGTCCTGAGTTCAGCGAGATCGTTGACTCCGCACTGTAGACGCACCTATTGAAACTCCGCCAGAGCCAGGTATTTGAGGTTCTAAGTCAGGTTACCCTACTTAGATATTATCACACTTCTGCAGGTACTCAGGCGCCCTTTCCATGTAGAAAGTAAGGCAAGAGTTTCTCCAACCCCTTCGAGTTTCATGTGATGCACTCACTGCTCTAGCAGTACGCAAAGTTTCTCAAGAAAGGTACGCGCGACGCAGCATGTAGGAGGAGTTCGCAGCTGTTTGGAGTGACATAATTCGCGAAGCGTCTTCTCCAGTTCAAGGTAGCCGGCTGGAGATGAAATCATTATTATTTGGTGTACATGAAGGTGATGGGCGAGCGCCAGCTCCTGCTTATAGAGGAACATCTTGGGTATCTTCCGCCCTGGTACTCGTACCCACGTCCTCTGTCTGGGCTGCGAAAACTTTGCCGATATGTGACTCGGTCGGAATGTTTTTTTTTGGCCCCCCCCCCTAGTATGTATTGTGCAGATCAAAGTTTAATCTCTGTCTCGTCTACTGCGAACAGATTGAGGGTTGGGGGAGGAACCTGGGCAGAAAGCCTTTCCGGACGACCCCAAGCCGCCAGCACAACACTCGTCTCTCTGTGCTGATCAGTCCCCTTGTTGGATGCGCCACGAATTCTACTGCGATTCTAGCCTATGCGGTGACTTCTGGGGCCAGCCAATCTTCAGGAAATTGTTTCCTTCTTGCTCAGCTGACAAGGCCGCCAAGGTAGCCCGTCGGTAATCTATCGAATTATTCCGTAATGCTGACAGATAAACGATTGAGCTGCCAATAAAAGCTTTCCTCAGAACACCTCGCGCAATATACTGCTTTTCGCAGAACCGCCTCGAGCACTTATTTTCCACCCATTGATCGCGTGTGTTCATCTGGATTGATGTGGCGCTGGCAATGACTCCTAGGCCAAGCGACTAACAAAATCAGGATACTTTTGACCCGCTCCTCTGGTCACACCGACAAGTCTAGCATCAACTATCGACAGTCTCGCGCCAAAAGTTTGGTTGACCCTGGCTGTAATTGCTCCAGTATTTGACCAGCTGGCTGTGGACGTGGTAAGTGGAGCTACCTGCAACTGCACCGCTCAAGGGGCTGCATCATTAATTTCCTTTACGATTTAGAAAATGGCCAAATGAAAGGAACATAATAAGGGGATTGATATACTGGGTACTTACTTACCCTCTATCAAGAAGTATAGATCATCGTGATCTTACAAATCGAAGATCATTACGACAAAATTTTCGCGCCAAAACGGCAACCAGCGGAATCTTGCCGCCCCAGTCTGTGTTCTGTTCATCTTCTATTCATCGGTGTAAGAAATCTATTGCCCTCCTGTTTCCTTACCAAATTCTTTGCTTCAAAATTGTTCTATATAGTTCCAACTTCCCTAACTTCCCTACAAAATACTGTTACAGATTGGTGTCCTTATTGTATTGGGAAATTAAACCACTCGTGTAACAATGAGAAGACTATTACTAGTACGTTAATCTAAATATTTGCTTATAAAGTTTGCGCAGCCGTTGAAAATCCCTCATAGCATGAAATATTCCTTTTCAGATTTTCGCCTCCGTGTGGCTGGGCTTCGCTCAGAGTGAGTGAAAAACTTAGTTTCACTTGGTATCTGTTCAGTTCGAGCGGATTCTATTGACGCCCCATATCCCGGACATGTAGGGGGTGGTATTCACATGCAGTCTTGTTCGCTACGGACGCTTGGGCGTTTGCGGGAAAGGGCTCGGATGGCGTGGCATCAGCCTGTATTCTACCAATTGTGGCAATTGGTAGACCACCACAGTTGGTGGGTCAGCCCCTTTAAGACCCCCCCCCCTTAGGCGTTGGCAGGGAGCATGACATTACTTACATGGGAGCACAGCGGCTGGTACGTATCTGTAGAGAGCTTCCGGTCAGAGGAGAGAGGATCAGGAGATGTCTCATTATTCCTTTGAGCAATAGTGTCCAGCTCCTCTCTTCAAAACCTCGGCACTATTTTGAACTTAGTAGTTTTTTTTATTTATTGTGCCAAAGAGGTTGTTAGCAGGGAGACTTCATTGGCATTGGCCTAACGTCCTGACTGAATCCGTCCTCAGAGGCGAGTCCTCTACCACATGAGCGAGACTATGTCACTCGCTGTTAATTGTCGTTAGAGATTTCATTGAGTCTTTGGAAATCCCTCAGACTGCGTTCATAGCCAGTGCTGAGCTAGAAGGGGATAACTCGAGAATCCTTGCAAAAAAATACGCTTGTCAACTCCTCCCGATTGGGCGAGGTCCGAGAGGGGGGGGTGTCTGTTCGTCCAATCCTGGTCTTTGCCTCTCTAGTTGTGCGACTCTCTGCTTCTTCAGTTCTCCAGTTCTCCCAAAACTTCCAGTGAACGCCACCAAGTTATCAATATCTATCTGAAAATTTTTGCGGGTTCTCTGATTCTCCACAGATGCCGTGCAAGCACACGGTGTCATGCAATCGGCACCTCCCCCTTGACTAAATTCGCAGCTGTGCAGCGTCGCATCGCTGGCAGAGTCTCTGAGCACGCCCACCCAGCTCCAGGATATGAAGATGGGGGGAGAAGGGAAAGTAATTAGCGCATTTCGGAGTTGGTCATTGGTGGACACATTTACCTCTGTCTAATTGCAAGCATAAGTCCTGTAAGCGAGCCCATCCCCGTAGTGTTATAACACTACCGAAACCATGGGAGCAATGCTCGTATAAGTCACCCGTTTGCAGTGAATCGGACCGCCTCCAACGACTGGGCCTCCACCGCATCGACCATCTCCGGTAACTCGACCACATCCAACTACTCCTCGTTTCCCAGTAATCCAGCCAACTCGTACGACTCGAACTCCTCCTCCT